ATTCGATGTCAGTTACTCTTTGGTGTTGAGGTAAATGAAGATCAGAAATCGAGCGTGATCTTCATATCACATCTTTGGTTGTTGTAAAACCAGTTGAGCCAAACATTGTCAATGAACAGTAGTGCTATACATCCGAACTGCGGTTTTTTTCAAAGGTGATGTGGGAAATCAAATCGTTTGTTATTACATCAGGTTGTCTAGTCGGCTTTCGTGTTCGTTCCCGCCGAATTCCTACCCGGTCGTGTTCAGCCTATAGTGACGAAATTATTCGGCCCTGAAGAAGATATTCCTGCTCGCCTTTGCTCTCTCGTTTTTGTGGATCCACTCTACCGTCGTCAATATCTTTATCTGAAGCTTTTTCGGAATTTATTTTATTTTGCTCATAGCATGTAATTCGAAATCAAGGATATTATTTACTGCCAGTGGAGATCGATAGGTGGCGTGGAGACGAGGCGTGAGGAAATACACCGATCTATTATTTAGGGTGTTTCGCGCCTTCCGGACAGGGGTCCAAAGCACTCGACAACTGGTTGGTTGGAGACAGTGAAGGATATGGAAGCTAACCGACAGCAGTGCCGTTCTTGTTGTCGTTTCTCATCAGGCTAGAATAATTGAAAGGGTATGTATGCGCAGTTAGATTGTGCACTCTGTGTGTTGACCCTAGAGGTTTACCTTCTTCCCCTCCCTTAAAATTGTTCCACCATGATTAATACCACTAACCGTGTATGCATTGCGAGTTTGACAGCCTTCAGTGAATTTCGCTGAACAGTGTTGATAAGGAGGAGGACCGCCCCTCCTATGTGCACAAGAACGATCTGTGAAATCATTTTGGCCCCGTTAATCTTGTAACCAGCCCATGGTGGCTTCTATGCTGATTGTTGTTGTATTCGGTCTGATCACCAAACCGGAAACAGAAGGCGATAATACCTTCCTCGTGGTATGTTTATGAATCCTCGATACTTCTGTTCCACTATTCAAACGTGATGTCAGCTTTTTAAATTTCCCGATCGTGATGTTTCCCCGAATTCCTTTATTATCACTCCTGGTGTTATTGGCCCAGTGGTAACACCACCAAAATTATCACCCCGGGTATGTTCGAATTCTGCCACCACCGCTTGACTTTCCCCATTGTGTGTTCAATAGCAGCCTTTTGAATTGGCGGCTTCCCCCTTCCTAAAAATTGTATCTTTGTATATTAAATTAAAGGAATTACAATGAAAAGAAAAAGGAAAGAACATAAATACATTCTGGGGTGTACGAACTCATTTGAATTTGTGGGTTGAAAAATTATTGAGCAACTTGCTCATTGTCTTCACTTTGTAGATCATTATGCTTGCATTCGAAGTCGAACGTTATAGTAATACCCTGTGTTTGTGTTGTGCATTGTTGTTTTCAGTGTTCCTTTTCCTAATCTACGTGTTCAGGATTCTGCTTGCCCTACTCCATCCAGTACAACTGGGTTTGTACATTGGATTGTGAATCCAGTTACGCTTTGTATCGATACTTCTAGTCGCTACCATATACTACCCAGTTGATCACTGTTCTGCACCGCAGCTAGTATGCCTTGCGTGGCTTAATTAATGGTTTACTTACTGTAGAGATTTGTTCTAGTTTCACTCTTCGTAAGTGCTCAATGACTTGTTCCGTGAAACTTTAATCGGACTCCGTGGTCCCTTTCCCCTCACTTCTTGTTTTCTTTAGGAATTAGAGACGTTATCCGGGACAACCTCAGGAAATTTAGATTATCAACGCACATTGCAAGAGTGGTTACTATTGCACGAACACAATCTACAGAATCGAACTTCCACTGTATCACCACCGACAGGGAAATCAGCGTTCCTCTATCGTTCGGATGGGACTGGTGGTGGCGGCGGTGACAGTTCATCACCTGGACTATCTTCTCTGGGCCCGGAGGAGATGTTAACGACGGAAACTAAATCCGTGTTTTCTGGTAAGCATCACCGTTGCTTACTCTCTCACTGCTACCCTCCCCCTCTCACAGCTGCCGGCTTTTTTGTATGTTGTTCAATTTTCCTTTCTTTTAAACGGGTTGTCATTACTGGAGAATCGATCGGGTCCTTGGACGTCGTAAATCATTTCGGAACAAGTTTGCTAATTTCAAGCAGTCACCGCATATATTGGTACAGCGCACAGTTTCGTACGAGTCTAACGCGACTGATGTAAATCGCATAGAACTCGATTTCCACAGCACAGTCTGGGTTGGTTAAAAAACTTGATTCCCCAATTCGGAGTTGGAGGTGAACTAACGCCAACTCATTCAGCCTTAGTATACAAGATTGCATCTCTAGCCTCGGCACTGCCTCCAAGGCCAGACTGTCATGCGGTCCCGTCTCCTCTTCTGGTGACTTATATGGTGTGGCAGTTTTGTAAACAATGGTGTTGATTGTTGTTTTTCTAGCTCGAGTAGTAAAACTTGGTGTTCAGTTGTTCGCCGAGCTTGCAATTGTATTGCAAACGTTTCATCACCAATCGAGGTGACATTCTCAATGCAGTAACTGCATTGAGAAGGTCCTTCGATTGGTGATGAAACGTTTGCAATACAATTGCCAAGCTCGGCGAACAACTGAACATCACTTATATGGTGTGTTTAGAACATGACAAGCATTGTCCTTACTTAATTTTGAGTCTCGGTCACCACGTCCCAACACGGTTCATGAACTTTTACGGTGTGTTCTAGTGGAAAGACGAAAGCCCCTTGCATTCCCGAGCACTCATCTTACAGCGAGATACAGTGAAGCGAGCTTCACTGATCGCTGCCAAGCTCACAATGTACACAAATCAAGCGATAAAGCACAAGATGGAGAGGGGTTGGGTCTAATTGGAGGGAGGCGAGGAAAGTGAACCGTCATGGTCAGCATACAGAGTACACAATCTAAGTGTGCATACGTACCTTTTCAAGCATTCTGATTTGTTAAGAAATCACAATAAAAACGCCACTACTGTCGGTTAGTCACCATATCCTTCAGTGTCTCCAACCAGCCAGTTGCAGAGTCTTTCGGACACCAAACTGGAAGACGGGAGACACCTATTCTACCTAATCGCTCTGTGCATTTCTTCGTGCCTCGTTTCCTCGTCATCTGTTGACTACGCGATTTCTTCCAACCCGGTGCCACAACTGCGAATAGGGGTTCGGTGCGGTAGACGATGGCTGGGTATGCGCAATACGTGACTTAACCAGCGAAGCCGGCTAATCCGAATTCGATGAGACAACGAATTCTCCATCGAATCAGTACTAAATGCCTTACCTTAGGGTTGCTTATATGCTCACTCCATCCAACCTGCGCCAAACTACGTAAACATCGACAGTTGAACACTTCTGGACGACAAGTATCTTCCACGCTCACCTTTAGGGTCTCGCAACCATAGAGCAGAAATGACCAAACACTAGCACAGTAAACACGACCTTCCAGTTTAAACGAAACATCGCGACTGCACCAAAGGTGTTTCAGTTCTGCTTAAGCTGCTCGAGTCTTGGAAATGCGGGCGGTTACTTCATTGACTATGCTGCCGTCATTTGTTACGCAGGTGCCTAAGTAGGTGAAATATTCCACTACAGCCAATTCTTGAACATCAGCGCTGGGGTAGACGACACCCAGTCGTGTAGCATCACTTTTCACTTTGAAGGTGCAAAGCGCATACCGAAAGGAGTTACCGAACTTGAATGTCTATCAAGAGCGCTTTGCGCATCCTCCATAGATTCGAACAGGCATACGATGTCATCGGTGTACTCGAAATCGCACAGCTTTTCTCCAGTTGCCCATTCAATACCTACTCTTCGGAGACCACTAAGCGCGTTCTCCAGTATTTCGTTTACGACGAAGTTGAATTGGAATGGCGAAATAGGGCACCTTTGACGGACACTGCTCCTGGTTTCGATCGATTTACTTAGCCCACCTTAGATCCTTACGCTACCAGAAGTATGCAGATACAGCGACCGCAATAGGTGTACATACTTCTGCGGCATTCCTTTGCGAAACAGCGACCCCAGAAGAGCTTCACGGCCAACTGAATCGAAGACTTCTTTTAGGTCAAGGAACACTGCGATTGTTCGCCGATGATGTGTGTGACCCTATTCGAGGACTTGACGCAGAGTGAAGATTTGGTCGATGCAACTGCGACCTGGTCCTAATCCGGCTTGTTGTTCGCGGATAGTTATTTCCCTTAAGGGTGTCAGGCGGCGAAGTATCTCAGAACTGAACACTTTTGTGATCATCGGAACTAAACTCCTACGGTGACTAGCACAGTCTTTGCGTGAACCCTTCTTGAAGATGACGATGATCAGCAATTCACCTCAGGACAAAGGGATACGCTCCTCCATCCAAATGCTGCGAAGTAAGCTATTAATTGAGTCAACAAGAGAATCACCGCCCACCTTGAAAAGAATAGAAAGAAGCCCGTAAGGCCCCTCAGCGTTTCTTTTCTTTAATAATTGAATGCAGCTTCGTACTTCCGATACCGATAGGGGATCACGTGTTACTACCCATTGGGTTTCCGCCGCAATTGCTAACACTAGGCCAATTGATCTGTTCACTAAACTACTCTACTGGGCGATCAGGTCGTTTTTTACTGTGGATACTCTGTTCATTTTTATCGCAACTGGTCTCACTGACCGGTATGCGACGACCTCCGGTGCTGTATATCAGGTGAAACAGTCTTTGACCATTCCCGATGCGGAAGCTACCCCCATTTCTCTAGCTCTTTTAGCCCACCAATTTTCGTGATCCTTCCTAAGGCCATTCCTAAGTTAACGTTTCAGGCGCCACTGGTCCTTATGCTGGTTCTGACAGATTAGGATCTTTCGCTTTTGATCCATCAGGATTACTGTCTCCTGATAAGACTGCAACTGAATGTCTGTGGTCGCTTATTTAGTGATCTCAGATGCACATTATTATTATTATTATTCTCGATGAAATGATAAATTATTTTTCTACTACACACGTTTGTGTGATAAACAGTAGATGGGATGAGCCCCTTAGTCACGAAGACATGCTATTCAGCGATGGAAACTGGTACTAGCAGTGGCAAACAACTCAAGGTCCCGCTGGGTTAGGCGTGCTAATAAAAATGGAAGATAGTAAAGCCGCCTACCACGAAAGCAGAGTGGCGGTTGCAAAGTTCATCCCGAGGTTCACCTCGGGGTATAGGGTTCAAAGCAAGCTGGTGACAGCGACAAAACTACCACACCACCACCAGATTGGTGGCTGAACTCCTATTCGCTATCTTGAGAACGCATTCAGTATCATACCAATTCCTGATCTCGTTGCACTGTCATTTTTGGGTGTTATAATCCTCATCGTTGGTTGTTTATCCAATATTGAATTTCATCTGAGGTTACATCGTTTTCTTACAGCTTTCCTTCATTTCTGGTCCATATGCTAGATATACCGCACTTCCTTTGAAAGGACCAAACTTAAATTTATTTATGAACTTTGAAATGCCCTATCGATCGGTAGCGTTTCGCAGAGAGTCATGCATTCTGACTTACCTTTCCAATACGTTGTCCAGTAGTACGTGTGAAAATCGCTTTATGTTGCGAATTTAATCACCATAAGATTGCTCTGCGTTGTCGTTCCACCACCTTCATCGCCTTGTAGCCCCTAATCGTTTGACTATCACAAAAGCACTAAAGTAGTTACAGTGATATATTTGTGGCCTTTAAGATTTCCCTACTTTTTGTTACTGTTATTCATTCGGTTATGGTTTCCGGGTGATTTTTGTCCATCCTAAAATAAGTCAGGCTATCTTTTCCGACTTAAGTCAGTTTTTTTAGCAATATGGCTTTTTCCAAACGATTTTGTGCGAAAAAAGTTGTTTTTCACATCGGATTTGCAAACTGGCTACATCGTGCTTGCCGCAATAACGAACCAAATGGATCGATTATAGGCAATCCGAGAAGGTAAACAGACATGGCTAGACAGACATCGGGTTCCACTAAGAGAGATCCAATAGTCACCGGTTTTCGGTTTGCCGGGTGGTGGCTGGGCAATGTGTGTGCCTGTGTATATCTGTGTTACTCTTTGACGAGTTGTTTTTCAGCCTAATGTTGAATAGAATAAAAAAAGCAGAAATTACACAGAAGACCTGATAGTTCCCTAGATTATTGTTACTTTCAGGCAGATGTACATTCCATCGAAACTTCCACCTATGTGTTTGCACTGACCTATTAGTTCCATCAGTCTCGTACTTGGTCGTGAGTGTTTTGAACAAGAACTTAGTTTATATCAACTTTTCGTCTGTTAGAAGGTTCCCGGGCTCAGCGCAGTTTCACAAGTCATACATTGGTTGAGATAAAATCCACAACAGTATTTGTATCTACGTAATTTCATTTGGGATTGTGTGCTAACGTTCCACATAGATGTGCACACCGGTCGTCACGCCGAATAAATGATATCAATTCAGATAATATACCACGTGAGAAAGTGAGTGGTTTACTTGANAGATAATATACCACGTGAGAAAGGGAGTGGTTTACTTGAGCTGGATTTCAAAGTGTAACTATTATTAGCCGCGTTTCTTTCTATTCTGTGAATGAGTTAGCTGTGAAACGCTCTGAGTATCATACAACTTCCTGTGTGAAATTTGCTGAGAGGATTCTCACAGATCTTGATCACCCCCTTGCATGCAGAACGGGCACGTTGTCGTTCTCATCCCTTCACACGCTCTCAATTCCACCAAATTTAATCTCGTATAAACGCTTACCGAAATTCACCCTATCTTGTGCGTTTACTCTCAAACAAGGAGAGTGTAACGAGTGAACTTTGTTTTGTAATATGAAATGCCCTCATGTATGTATGTGTGTAAACAATTTTCCCCGTTGAATATGTTCCCTCTGACTGTTGATGTGTATAGTTTTTAAACTGAAATGTAAGCTTCCGTACTTGCAAAAGTACAATATAATACAATACGAAGGTATTT